GCAAAGCAATGTTCTGATTAAGCTTTCTAATGATCTTGACTATGGTAGAGTTTTTTGTGAATAAATCTTTCTTCATTTATGGTTGTTTTATGAAATTGATAAAATTGACTCCTTTTCTTGATTTATCAGAAAAGTTTATGATCATCCCCATTTGGATCTCATTTTCAGAACTTCGCCCGCATCTCTTTTCTCCTCGCATTCTTTTTGGTTTGAGATCTATGTTTGGTTGGCCACTTCATACAAATAATGTCATTATTGTGGGTTCTAGGCCATTCGTTGCACAGATTTTGGTGGAGATGGACATTTTGTTTGGCTTGGTCTTGAAAATTTTGGTTATATTCAAAAGGTGATTTTATAAGGTTTGCCTAATTTTTGTTCTCACTATAAAGTTATGGGTCATATAAATTTTGAATGTGTTAAATTCCATCCTCATTTGAGGAAGTCTGGCGTTTCGGTTTAGCCGGTTATTAGTTGTGTTCCTAATCCTTCTACGGAGTCTAGGGTTTTGGCTTTAAATAAATTAGAAACAAATTTTTCCCCTACTGTGGAGGCTGTGATTTTGGCTTTAAATGATCTAGAAATTCATATTGCTCTAATTCTTGCTAGAGATTCTGGTAAGGTGCTTTTGAATTATCATATCTTTGCTTTTAATAATGTGCATTTAGTTTCTTTGGTTTCTCCTAATATTGTTCCTTCTAAAGTTGTTTATGTTAACAACAATACTGATTCTTCTTTGCTTACTCCCTATAGTGCTAATTCTTTAGAGAATTTGGATTATGATAGTAAGAAAATGGATAAAATTACTCTTAACTCTTATAGCTCTAGTACTCATTTAATTTCTTCCTCTGCTAGTTTGAATAAGTCGAATGAAGGTTATGATGTTGTGGGTAAAATTGTGGCATCTAGTTCTAATTCTATATTGATTTCTGATTTACCTATTGAAGGCAAGGATGTTTCTAATATTGTCCCTATTATCGATTTTCCATTTTCTCCCATGTCGGATGTGTGTATTAACTTGGTTGGTGAGCACTATGAATGTTGACCCTGTTGATCACTTCGATTGGATGGAGGAATTATTGAATAATATTCGTTGTGATGGGGCTACTTGTGAGGCCAGTTATAAAGTTTCTTTAGAGGATTTTAATTTTGGTGTGATGAAAATTGATAAAGCTGGTTTCTCTATGGATTCTAGAAAGAAAAATAAGAAAAAGAAAGTTAAAAAACTTTTTGAGCTGGTTTTTGTGTTGTTGTCATTATTCCTCTGTTCTGTTTATTGTTTTGTGGTGTTTTGGCTGTGGATGTTTTTTTTTTCTGCTAGTTGGTAGGCCATTGGTTGTCCTGGTTTGTGAGCTTCTCTTCTGGTGTTTGTTCTTGGTTTACTCGTGTTGTTTTGTGCTGTGGTGTTTTTCCTATTCCTCCTTTGGTTGTTCTAGGTTAGTTTGGTGTTGGTGTGTTTTGATGGGGTCTTCCTCCCTTTGCCAATTATTTTTGTGCTTGGTATCTCTTGATCTTTCTATATTTTATGCACGTTTTGATGCTTGGTGGCTTTTGGGTTGCTCCTTCGCGGCTGGAGGTAACCTTTGATGGTTGTTTGTTGAAGCTCTTCTGCTCTTCTAGAGGTCCCTTTTTTGGGTTGCCCTCTCGCTGGTTTGGCTTGCCTTCCTTTCTTTATGTTTGTTTTCTGTATTAGTTTGAATTATTGGCTCATATGTTTTACTTCATATGTTGTATTTTTAGAGAGCTTATGATTCATTAAAGACTTGTAACCTCCTTTTTATATTTACGCATAGGCCCCTATGTGGGTTTTAACCAAAAATAAAAACTTATATGTACTGGCACATTTCACTTAAAATTGACCTTCATCTTATATGAATTTTTTAAAAATCGGTAGATATATATATTTTTTGATCTATTGTATTGTGTTTACAAAGAATTGCATAATTACTACCTATTATGAAGAAGTGTTTTAAAAAGTGCTTCAAAGACCCACAAACTAATTTTCCCTTCTTCAAATTATCATCTTTTCATTCTTTTTTTTTTTTTGGTATTTAATAAAAAATATATGAAATTTGTATGATTGTAAAGCTAAAGGACTTCATTCAAAAAACTTAACTATCTATAACGAGTTTCATATTTAATTGATCAAAATTATATGACCTTTTCACCTAAAAGTTTTATTTTTTATGAAGTTTTGTTTTAAAGTTACCGAATGTTTTCCTTGCATATCTCTCTCCTCTTTTCAACCATTTAACGTATCAAAAGCATTCACTATATTTGTGGATTTTTATGATATCTCCTAAAGTTTTAACACTTAGGTCTTTTTTTTATGACTTTTTTACTACTTCTTAAAACGGCTTTTTAGTAAAAAAATTTTAATTTTTGCGTTAGATAGTTGATTTAACTAGTAGTAAGAAAGCTGTCCCAAATGAAACCTTAGGCTTCTTTTGGGACGATTTTTTAACTGCTTTCTATTTCAAAAAATCCAAACAAAGCCTTAATCAATTTGAAGAGCTTTTAGGTTTCCTTTGGGACGGCTTTCTCACTGCTTTCCAAAACAGTTTTTTAGTACAAAAATATCATGAACTAGAATTTTTTGTAAAAGAAAGCTGCTTTTAAAAGTATTAAGAAGACCGCCCCGAACAAAGCCTTAATCAAATTGAAGAGCTTTTAGGTTTTGTTTGGGACAGCTTTCTTAGTACTTTATAAACAGCTTTCTATTAACAAAATTATTTGAATTATAAATTTTTGTACTAAAAAACTGTTTTAAAAAACATTAAAAAAAAGTCACCCCAAACAAAGCCTTAATCAATTTGAAAAGCTTTTATAGGATTTTTTATATGACTTTTTTACTATTTTTTAAAGCAGCATTTTAATATAAAAAATTTTTAAATTGAAAAAAAATCGTACTAGAAAAATGTTTCATAAAGTAGTAAGAAAGATCTCCCATAAAAACCCTAAATTAGTGGAGGTTTGACCATGAAAATTAAATTGTGGTAAAATATTTAACAAAATTGTGCACTAAACACAGCTTCTACAACAATCTATAAAATATAGCAGCAAATATCATCCCAAAGAGGCTATTATGGTTATTTTAGGTCTTTGGCTATGGAATTGTATCTTCCTTTGAAGAAAGATAATGCTATTTCTAATATTATTTTGTGGAAATCAGGTAATGATTCTGCCTTTTGTAGTCAAGATATATGGCTCTTAAGACCATCTCCAACCGAGCACGTTACACATATCTGTCATTCGTCGCCAGCTTCAATCGAATGCGAAACACCATGGCATTTTCGCGACGTGAACAATGTAAATTCAATATTGAAAATTCAGAAAATTAGGTTAGTATATTTATTTCAACTGCACTATTCACCAACATTATTTTTTTTTAATTCGTAAAATTGGGTCAATATATTTCTTTCAAAATACAAGTTCTTCAATACTAAGATGAAATCATTTTAAATAGTTTAGGTTATTCATTTAAAAATTAGGTTATTCATTATTAAGTTAAATGTATATTCTTTCTCATTATAAATTAGGTTATTCAATTTAAATAATTTAAAATGCAATGCATAATTAAAGTACAACATTAATATATAAATTATTAATTTTTTTAGTTAGATTTATTTTTGTCAAAAAAAAGTAGGTCTAATATGATGAATTGATAAATATAAATATATGATTAAAAATAAACATAAAACATATATGAGAAAGAATACACCTAGAATATTCTTTTTTGGTGTCATAAAATGGAGTTCGGTTAATGATGAGATACTGCATTTTAGAATGTTACTAAATTTTGAAGTGGAAAATGAGTTTTTCGGCTGGAGATGCTCTAATGACTGACTTCCCCTAACGTATTTTCGATTAATCAGGATAGAATATACGAGATAGATATAAGCTGAAATAAATACTTAAAAAAAAAAAATATAATATCAAAGATGATGACTTAAAAAAATTATAAAACAGTAAAATCAATAAAATTGCAAAAATATACACTACTAATAAATTCCACCTTTCCCCTTGAAATTTGCTATTATTATATATTACTTCATATAGTATTTGGCTATTTGTAAGAAAATACATAACTTTTATATATTTTTTAAAAAATATATATATAATCTCATAGATTGAGTGTTCTGTATATGAGAGTTTTGTATATATATGTTTTTATCAAAAGCTGAGTGAGAAATCAATATTTATATATTATCTTGGAGTTAGTTACTATCATTCTTTTTGGTTTTGTTTGGGACGACTTTTTCAATGCTTCTTAAGGTATCTTTGTAGTACAAAAATTAAAATATTTATACTAAAAAACTGCTTTAAGAAGCAGAAAGAAAGCCGTCCCAAACGAAGTCTTAGTTTCTTCATACTAACAACGATTATTTGCATACGGTAAGCTAACTTCACATGACTAATAATATGCAGTTTGCCTAGCCTTTTGTAATTCCAAATAGCCCTATGTTTTCTTTTAGTGAATTAAATTGCAAACTCACACATTGCATACAAATTTTGATTTCAAATATTTTTGGTTAAAGCTCCCAAACTCTTAACCAACAGGTTAAGATTTTATTTGGGACAACTTATTTATTGTTTTGCTTAAACTCTTAACGAATAGACTAAGGCTTCATTTGAGACGGCTTTTTTATTGCTTCTTAAAGCGGCTTTCTAGTATAGAAATTTTAATTTTTGTACTAAAAAGTCGCTTTAAGAAGCAATTAAAAAGTCGTCCCAAGGCTTCGTTTGGAACGGCTTTTTTAAAACATCTTTTTAGTACAAAAAAATTAATTTTTGTACTAGAAAGACAATTTAAGGAGGAGGAAGAAAGCCGTCACAAGCGAAGCCTTCATTTGAGACGGCTTTTTTCTTGCTTCTTAAAGCAGATTTTTAGTACAAAAAATTTAATTTTTGTACTAAAAAACCGCTTTAAGAAGCAAGAAAAAAACCGTCCCAAACAAATCCTAAATCTTGATAACTTTTTGTTGTAGTACAAAATCAAGCTCTATCGTAACAAACACTAATCATTTTTTTGTTCAAATAGTAATTAGGTTTTAAAAAACCATAAATAATTGTACCAGCATTAAAATTTAAAATTCTTTAATGTTTCCACTAATTAGATGCTTGGACTGCTTAACAGTGCAGATTTATGGTAAATATTCAGCTTTCCTATTGCATGCACAAGCAAAGCTACTTTATTAAAAAAGAAAGAAAGTTATGGCCTATCCTATCATATTTTAGCTATCAAAACCTCTGCCCATACGTGCACTAAATTCTCTTGTATTGTTTTGGCTTGCTACTTCTGTAGAAAGTGGGGATGAACTAAGTCAAATCTTTCTAGTTGCTAAAACGACAGGTGATTAATCAAGCAATGTACTAATCAAGATATTAATGCATAAAACCACTCCATAGGTCCTCTCTAGAATTGACAATAAAAAAGCTAATCAACAACTCTTGTTATCTTTCAACTTGTTGATTTCTCTCTAGACACAAGTTTTTTGTCCATTATGCGATCATTTCAATTCAAAATCTTATTTTGTATATGTATATAGCTTGAAATAAATTGAAAGTAATCTTTTAAATCTACCACCACCACAACAACAACAACATCAAGCCTTTATCCCACTACGTGGGGGTTGGCTATATGAATTATTTTTCTCTATTACGGCCAGTTAAGAGTCAAATTCTAATTTAGATCTAGTAAAGAAAGGTCATTTTTAATAGTTCTTAACCACAAGTCGTTTTAGGTCTACTTCTATCTTTCTTAACATAGGTTAAATCTAATAAATCTAATATCCTAACCGGGTCATCAAAAGGCCGCCGTTTTATGTGACCAAACTATCTAAGATGACTTTCTCTAATCTTATCAGCCCTGGAGCTACTCCAACCTTTTCACGTTTATGCTCATTTCGTAGCCTATCTCTAAGAGTAAAGCCACTCATCCACCTGAGCATCGTCATCTCTGAAACACTACTTAACTTAATATTATACTTCTCATTTAATGGCAAACATTCTATGCCGTAA